TGTATGTTTTCGAATTTTCTCGCCGATTTAAAAGGCAATAATTTGAAAAACACTCGTAATCCTTTTCTGAGGATTTCCTTTCGGAAAGACGCGAGTCCCGAGCTTCCTCACGATCGCGGAACTACCTGTTGAAGAAATTTACGAACACCTATCACGCCTTCATCCCTCCTTCGATAATGCGTCAACTTTTCCGAAATGATCACTCACTTTTCTCCAACATCGTCACTTTACGATTTCAACGACCTCTTTTTTCTATTCGACGCGACACCGCGTATCTCAATGGGACACTCTTCTCGGCGAGACACGGGAGCAGTAGCACGGTAGGTGCCAGCCGACTGAAGCGTCGCGACGCCGCGCCGACGAGGCTCGACGCCACGCCGCGCGACGCTCACTACGCCGACGTCGGCGACGACGTCGTTCGAGGCTACTCTACACGAAATCTCGAATCCACTGCCAACAAACCGAGCTATATACATGTGTATACGTTTGCTTGGAAGCTGGATCTGAATTCTCTCAATCTTCAATCCGATGTTTAAAACAAAGTAACGTTAAAGTAAAAGAAATGACGTTCAAAAAATTTCATATGACAAATTTCTTTTTTATTCCTGCATTTAGACTGCACCAGAAGCTCTCTTTCTCGCTTTGATCAAATATAAAACGTGTACCTGTCTCGCTTTAAGTCTCAAAAGTATATATTATACTAGTTCAGCCACAGAAAAGACTTAATTCTATCATTTATCCGGGACATTTCAGTTTTTCAGTATTAATATTTTTTGCAAATCATGTCAGAAAGCATTCAATAATGATATTTTTTAAGTGTGTGTGTCTGTGTGTGTGTGTGTGTGTGTGTGTGTGTGTGTGTGTAACGCATGCAGTGATTAAGCAAAATTGCAAACGCACCTTGCCCAAGTAGAAATCCCCTGCCGATTCTTAAAGCTTTGTCGATCTCGTGCAGCAGATCACTTTCATTCCTGACTCTTCTCTTCGCAATGGCATCGCAGCCGCTCCCTTTGATTAATAAAGCATATGCCCATATCCACCAGAAAGAAAAAAATAAATAAAAAGATGCAATAAAATTAATTTCGAGCAGCGCGCCGTGAACTTGTTAGCAAGTCGCAAGCCAGAACCGAACGGCAAAGAAATTTCTTCAGCGCAAGATTTTTAAATATGCGTCGGTCATTTAAATAACAAAAAAAAAAAGAAAAGAATTGATGTGTCAATTGGAACGATGAATACAAATAACTTGTATCCACAGACGGATGCCTAAATTCGCACATTTAGTCCCGACGGAACGCACGCTGTGGCTAAACTTTCGTGCTAAAGTTAGAATAGAAAATAAACAGGCGCTTCGGTAACCGCGTCGAAAAGTTCAGGAGACTTACGAAATACAAATAACCGCAGTGAGTTAATAGTAATAGACGAGCGATGTGTCCGCACGCTTTGGCAATGTGTCAATAAAAATTAACATTGTTTTGCACGGATAAACGACTTTTGTCACACATATCGACTAATACGTCTAACATCACCGTTTTTCATATATTTTGGTTCTCTCTGCAAGAGAATTGATTGGCGTAAAAATGTTTGAACAAAACGTGCACTCGTGCCGTACCTATTGTAATATATTCATAACATGTACATACATGTACTGTCAGCAAATAAGTGGGCTGAAAGATGAAAAAAAAGCGAGCATGCAACAATACGTGGTGAAAAAAAGCGATTTTAGATGAGACTGATTTATCAAAAAAAAAATGTAAGAGAATCTTCACTTACATTAATTATATCGTCGCAATTGAAGCTTTTGACCAAATAAAAAATTTTCAAACTCTTAAAAAAAAAAGGGATATTAAAAATGTTCGTTTAAATGTCGAAAGAGAAGTTCTGTGGATTATATTCGATTATTACGGCGAGCCCCAAAATATCATCATCGAGTGACTTTTTAATTGTAAATAGAATACGATGTGCATATAAACAATTTAGTAGAGAAAAATTCTCAGTCTCCGCGAAAGGATGCGCGGACCAGCGGGCCAGTAGGCCACGTCGCGATTGAAAATAGCTGAAAACAAGACGGTGGTTCCGGCGCGCTGGCCGAAATGGCGAACGCGTCCTACGAGCGACTGGCCTATTTTCTCGCCGCGGTGTCTTTATATTTAGATTTCCATCCTCCAATGAATCACACACAACCGCCGCGGCCCGACAATCGCGGGATGAAGGAAAGACTAAACCGCAGGCAGGCCAGTACTCTACCATCATCAGACGTGGCACCATCTAAATGACAACGTCGTAGCGATCGAAAAACGCATCGTGTCGAATAGAATTTTGTGGGAGCTTCGAAATTCTTCACTCAGTGGAATCTCATTCTAAAGACTAAAATCTCACTCTTGAAGATTGAAGATTTATTCTTGAAAAAGAATGGCGAAATTTTTACTTTTCAGAGTGAGATTTCACTCTAAAGAATTTCGAGAGTTTAAAGACAGTCAATTGCATCTCATCATCTTATTATATCGAGGAAAGAGAGATTCTCTTTGAATTACCCGGTATAACGATGACAAGATTAAAGATTCTGCGACTATAATCGGCTTCGAGTAGTCGACGCGTGACGCAATTTGATAGCCTCTGTACCTCCGTTGATATCCGTTATCGCAAACTGTCGCGGTTCATTATCCGCGACGCCGTCGCAGCGCCGCGAACACGAATGTGTAACGCAATAATTGTC